GAACTCTCGCTTCGATGTCGTTTAAAAGATGGAGCGAGTGAAGACGTACACATAATGCGAACTCCTCAGAACATGACTCGGTTAATACGACTGACTTCGATCCCATCAGAGCACCCTGCTTCTGTTCCCATGGAGCAGCCCCATCCTGCAAGAGACTCGTCAAGGCTGTTTCAATATCTGCGATGTCTTCTTCTTTGGCGTTTGAAATCAGACGCTGGAGCTCAACTAAGCCGCGATCTCTGTCCAATTTCGTTGAACCACAGAGGAGTCCCAATGATTTTTCAAGTGCACGCCATGTTTAGGTTTTTGGTCTTTTATGACTCCCTAAGCTCGAGTATAAAAGTCGTGTTTTCATGAAGCTAGATAGGAGAGCTTTTTTAAACCACGCATTATTTATAGAGAAACGAAGAAAAATAAATAATTTTGTGACAAGTCCATACTTCTTGGAAATGCTTGACAGACAGTTTCGGCTTCTTTCTCTAAAGACGAAAATGTCAGGAACATGCTGAACATTTTAGATACCACGCCCTCACAGGTGAAAATGTGGTATTGTTCCGTTACATCCTCATGCATCTGTCAAACAAAAGAATACTTGTCTAAAAAAACACAGTTTTGGCTTCAGAATACTATAGATAATAACTTCACAGAGGTTCATTAAATAACCCCCGACTGTATATGTATATTCTGCTCATTATTACAAACTTTTGCAATGCGAAATCGAATCTCCATCACATTTGTGGACGTGGTTGTAGCATAGATATCAGCGGAGTAACAACAACGTTGCAAATTGACAATAAATGAAATTAGATAAAGTACGGATATTTTATACGAACAGTGGCGGATCCAGCAACATGTATTGGGGGAGGGTCCAAGCTACGCTTAAGATATACGGAGCGTAAATCGCAGAGAAGCTATGCGTAATCCAGATAATACGAATCGTCATGCGTTTGGGGGGGGGGCATGGCCCCCCTGGCCCCCCTCTGGATCCGCCACTGTATACGAACACATGCAGGGTTGTGTTATCCCAATGATTCAACCCGTATTCACTTGCGTGCATAGTTTGTCTTACAAATTCTGTACGTTCAATCCTGACTGGAGTTGAACACAGAGGGAATTCCGATCCTGTCACAGACTCACAGTCTCGGCAAAGAGAGTCAAAATATACTGTTTATTGGCGATGTTAGCTATGAATTAGAAGACCCAATAAGACACAAGGTTATCTCCAAGTATAGATATATATATATGTATATGTATAAAGAGCTAATATAAGACAAATAGATTTGGGGGAATTTGAAAAACAAAAATATCATTTCAGTTTGGGATAAACTGACGTTCATTTTTTCAAACAAATAAAAAAAATGGTTTATCTAGTAAAAAGTGTTAATCAGGGAATTACTTGTTTTGACACCTGAAATATACATATCTATGTAAATCTATAAGCAATTATTATCATTGATATAATGATAAGGAAAGGAGACCATGATCACGAAAAAAATGGTCGCTTTCAAAATCACACACAGTTAACCAATTCGCGATAAATAAAGCACAGTTTTTTATTTCAACCTATTTTTCTTTCTTTTTACTATTTTCATTATACACCATATCTTTCAAGACGTTCTATAGCCTTCAAGATGTATTTCCCTGGTTTCTATCATGATGAATTATAATTAATCAATTATGTTGATACTGATCGAAGCAACAAAAAAAATATGGATATTTATTAAAATGTGTTTTAGATTAATGAATGTAACTTACAAATGCAGGTAGTATTTGTAAAATTTGCGCATCTTTTTCAAATGGGTACAAGATTGACGATGATAAGCATTGTTTGTGTACGTTCCAAATACAATTTCATTACATAACATACACACCTCAGCCTGAGTGTATGTTTGTTTGTTGGAATTTGTATGAATCATAAACTGAATGTGTTAAATAATTATCATGCGGCATTCATTCAAATAACTGCTCCGTGTGTCACTTACGTAAGACAGATTGTCCTGTGCTTTAGCATATTTTACGGATTGGTATTACGTCTTTTGTATTTTATAATTTTCCCCTTTTCTGCCCGGTTACTTTAAAACAGTTATTAAGTTCATTTTATTTTTAATACTGAAATATGGTAGGATGACACCTGATGATTCCTAACATGTATCGTCATCATACTATTAATAGTAATGGATTGGTAATACGTCATTTGTCTTTTATAATTTTCCCATTCTGTCCGGTTACTTTAAAAAAAACAACAATATTATTAAGATTATTTTTTAATATTGAAATTAGGTAAGATGGCACCTGATGATTCTTAACATGTATCGTCATCATACGATCAATAAAGGTTTAACGAAAAAATAATTAAGGAATCGACTATTTTAAATCATGGGGTAGAGGTGGAAGATTTGTTAAAAAAAGGCAAGCTCAGGACCAAGAAAAACATCTATGTCAGGTTTACACACACATATATAAATTTAGCAGTACTTACGAGTTTTGTAAGTATATTATCATTTATTTAGTATTTCAATATAATTGAATTGAAACAGTTATGAACGAGACTGGAATGAAGAAACCTGCAGAGTATTGACTCTAGGGGGCGTTATTATATAAACGTTAGTGGCAACAGTCAACATTACGTGACATATAACGGATTTATCTCCAATCTTCAACATATTGCCTATAGCCTCAGCACATTTCAGTACCTACAATTAAAACAAACTCCGTGGTGATATCCTTACATTTATAGCCGCTTTCATATCTGAAGTTTACAATATATAAGAAAATTTGAGAATATCTTAGGTGTTATAAAGAGAAGTTCTATTTGGAAAAAAACAACAATAACAACATGATAAAAATATTGCTTGCTAACTTTACTTTTTTCGCAATCACATGAGGTGTGTATTGAGCAATTGTTCAAGTACAGCAGTTACATTTCATTTTTGGAGAGGGTAAACTCCGGTAGAAATGTTATACCTTTTTATTCATATGAGTTGAAGGCAAACAATTCCCCTTTAAAGCGCGGTGGTCGTCGCGCAGCGCGTGTTCGAATTTCATGTAAATAAACAATGTATTTTACACGCGTTGTATACGTCGCTATGAGTCCCATATCGAACAGGACGCGACACGATGACCACCGCGCTTTAAGAAAAAAAAGTATAATTGAGGATACTTCAGTATGAGAATTTAGGCCATGAAATCATCGCACTTTGTACAAATAAATCAGAAAATGTCTCATGAATTGTGTCTATTTTCACTATTCACGGAAAATAGAGGCTCACTTTCCTGATATATAAATATTACATTTCTTTTTTGGTTATGTACATCAATGAAGTTGACAAATTAAAAATTGAAAACATAGTAATGTATTAAGTAAAAAATATATAATAAAAATAGCAACATTAGACTATACTACTAGTATTTTGATTGTGAAATTAGTCCTTTCACACATACTTTGATAATAAGTTTTGACATTGTTAGTCAGTGTTTGTTTTTTTTACATTGAAACAGATATTTAGTTATAGCATATATAATTGTATTATCTCTTGATTGCATTATTCAAGTTGGGAGATAAAACATTGTCTTTGTAGTACTGCAACATCACTCACTGTTTTATCAACAAAGTAGCAATGTATCAGCTACCGTTACAAACATTTGAACGATTATGTCAGTCAAAGTTCGTCTCAACAGGAAGTGAATGGGCCGCCCTCAAAGTCAAAAATACGAAATTTTAGGGTAGTATCAATGTTTTACACTTATATATATTCGTGTCATTTATTTACATGATTATTTTTAAAGAGAGTGGATATAAGTTTGTTGTGGTTAAAATATAAACTTGCTATTCCAAATATGTCGTTACCGATCAATACTACATTGACAATTTCTGTAAACTAATACATCGCCGCCAACACCGTGAATAACTTTGGTCGATCCCTTTCGGCCATCTTGTTTCATGTGTTTCACTGGACAAGACTTGTGTTTTCCTTCTGCCGTTTGCCCATCAATCCATAACGTTTCGTGTAACCGAACATCTCCCACTCTGCAAGTATGGGAGTTCCAGCATTTTTTCGCTGGCTTAGCAAGAAATATCCATCGATAGTGGTCCACTGTGTGGAGGAAAAAGTGAGTGCGTCAATTGAAAAACAAAAAATATATTTTTTTTCAGAATCGACCGGCGAGTCGGTGTTTTACCATTACCATGCCGGGTTATCAGACTCGTTAGGGATTACATGTGTATCTCCCGATAATTACTGTATGGGACATTGTTTCCCTTGCACATGTACAATTTTGTTGCTGGATTGTTCGAACTGCTTATCTGAATACGAATGAAGTCACTGACATGCATGTTGTGTTGCGGTGGTCGAGGTTAATCAGATCTGTCGGTAAAGGACAATGAACTCGTATTTGCTATTTTGTTCATAGCGTGTCGGCGTGTACATATGATATATAGAAGATAATATTTGGTAATCGTAGTCCTAAATAACTATTAAAAATAGCTAGACGTTTCGAGCAATGGCTCTTTATCGATTATATAGAAGAAAGTGTATTTTATAACTACACTTTCTTCTATGCTATCGAAGCA